AGCCATATATATTATTCTTAGTTGTATTTATAGGTATCTATTTGTCAGTAATACAGTGTTTCTGCCAGAGCAGGCCATTGTGGGAATCCCACTTTGAAATCAGAGATGGCCCCCAGAAAAACAAAAAAGGGCCATTTTGACCCTTTCCTATTATAAGGCTGCAGGCTTACCACAGACATAGTATTTTAAAGGCATCCCAGGACTCGAAATTGTGACCCATACCTTCAACAATGTACTAACATTTCATCCTCACTGTATCTTTGGTGCTTTATTTTCCTTGGTACCCTGATGCATTTTTTCCTTCTGCAGCTTTCAATTTATTGGCTCCTTTCCTAAAAAAATTGGCCCCTAAAAAAGGTTTTCAGGGACCACTTTGGCCCTCAAGTAGAATTTACTGGCTGAAACACTGTAATATTGTCTGCATTGTAAATAGTTTCATATTTCTTTAAGTCATTTTTAGTGTTGTATTGTTAATAGTATAAGTATTACTCTGTAAGTATTATAGTGTAAATAGTGTCTTGTAACTTGTCATGCATTAATTAAAGATAGAAAAAAATTTATATCTAGAATTTCCTCTGTTATGTTTGATTTTTTCTTTGCAATACTCTCACTACATCCTTTTTTTCAAAATATTTTCTTGCCAAATTTTTGAAATTCTAACAAGTGGTGCTTGAGGAAAAGGCATTTCCAAGAAAACTTTTCACAGCAGCACTCCATTTAACTGGGTTCTTTCAGTAATGAAGAAAAACTTAGGATTTTTGGGTTCCTTGCATGGTTACTTTTCTTAAAATACCTTTACAAATAACAGACCAAAATCACCAAATGAATACACTGCACATGTCATTTGTGAAGGAAAATAGCACCAATAGCCTAGGCATTGAATAAATAAAATGGTTGCTGTATCGATGCCATGTTACAGTTAGTGCTAACTTGTCTGAGTCGTAGAAGAAAGTTAAGGAAAATTTATGTTTTGGTATATTTATGAATTTGACCGTCCATATTTTGATATTTTACAATGGGCCTTTTTACTGATGGCATCAAATATCAACAATTCTTGGTATTTTTCTTATAAACATAAACTAACTCAAATTTCTACTTTTATTGTCCAGCCCCTACAAAGCAGTCAACCCCAAGCAGCTGCTTGCCATTTCTCAGATGGTGGCAGCTTTATAGGGGCTCAACTATCACTGCATACTGTAGGTACTTTATTATGTTTACACTTGACTCAGGGAATGACTTTTTCCTGAAAACCATCACATGTAGGTATATGCTTGTTTTATGCTAAACTATAATTACTGATAAATCCAAGTAATGCTCTTTTATTGTTCATGTAATTTAAATGTGCTTTTTCTTTATGTTTTCTAGATTAAGAGTGGGTTTAGTGAGGGTCTGAATAATGCTCTGAATGACTACAGACAGGATGGTTTTAAACAGGCTTGGGATGGACTACAGTCAACAGTAAGTTAGTGAAATTGTATTTTAAATGTGTGGCAACCTTTCAGTAATATTTATTTAATTCTTTTTAGAAGATATTCATTTATTTGTTGATCATTACTTTTTGAGTGGTTTTAATTATTTGCATTTTGGAAAGGTCAAACTCTTCTTTGACTTTTAGTGCAAGCTTTGGATATAAAGACATTGTGTTAACTGCAGAGCTCTCGGTGACATTTTCTCATCCTGGTCCATCCATTGTTTTCTTCATTCCTTTGGACTTGCATATTGCAAGTTTATCAAAATCTGTGGCCATATTCGTTTGTGAATGTCGTTGTAAGGGCCCATTAACCGATTCATGAGCGCGCTCGTATGCATTGCTAAGGAGGTGAAATTTCACTTCCAGTTACTTACGGCAACCTTGCAAATTTGCTTACATTTTAGATGTTTTTCTTTGTATTTCACAAAATGCAAAGTTAAAAAAGTACAAGCAAAGACAAAATAAGAGAAAGACAGAAAAACAAGAGCAATAGAAAGAGAAAAACTAACTCTATGTGGCTTTGTTTGATCTTACCAAAGTGCACTGGTAGTGTAAATTGCGAACGCACTGATAGGGTAACTTCCAATATATATCAGGCGCACTTCCGGTTTCTTTAGATGCTAAAGGAAATGCGTTTTTTTTTTTCATTAAATCCAGCCTTTTTCGACGAATTTGGATTAAAGCCAATGTTGGAAATATAGCTCTGCGTTACTTTTTCAAAATCATGCTTATTTCAGAAAGGTACGAATTTTTCAATATTTTGAAATTCTCTCAAAACCTGACCTTTTAGAAATGAAACAAAATCTATGCATAGCATAATGAGGATTTAAATTAAAATATTAAATCAATGAAAAAAACCGTGATTAAATAATTTGCCTAGGAGCCTTTGCATTTTTTCAATATTAGTCACATGACCATGGGCATGGTCTGATTACATCATTACTGGTGTTACTGATCTTGAAAAAGTTAAAACACATGAAATAACTCTGAGCTAACTAAAAATGATGAGGTTATATGAGAATAAATTTTCCTTAGCAACGGCTCGAAAAGATCGGTTAATGGGCCCTTAACCTTACTATAATCAGCTTTTGACCTTTTTATGAATTCTATTATTCCGACTTGCAAACACAGGAGTGTAGCGGACTGTACAAACTTATTTTGTGTAGTAAAAACCTCATTGTAGTTAACTCGGATCAGCGAAGCATATGCATGGATCTATCTGCATGCAAGAACGACTTTCGTATTACATTAAAATGACGTGGGAACACAAATTAAAGCGAACTTGAAGCATGCATTTCTAGCTGCGAAAAGCGAAAAGGTTGTTTTGATGGTTTTAAATTGCTGGCAAATGAAACGATTTTTAAACACTCTTAAGAAAAAAAGAAAATTTTCCTATTCGAAAGAAAATCCATGGTTTTGTCCTTGCCACGTTTTTATCCTTTGTTTGTTAGCTCATCAGGTCAAGGCCTTAACCAGATTGTTCTTGGTCTGTCAATCTAGCCAACAAGGTGTCAAGTTTCCGGTTTGTCTCCTCTAAGCTTTCCTCGAGTTTTGTAACCTTTCTGGTAAGTTCTTCTCCATTTTCTCTGGAACACGTCTGAAACGAAAATTAAACAGCACACTGTCTCATTGAGAATTTCACTGGGAGTTGAGAATTTCATTTAGATTGTAATGAGTATTGTAACTGTTATAATATTTTGATCTGTCACTGATATAACTTTTAAGTTACTTAAAAGTATACATACACCGTTTATCCTATTAACCAAGCACTAGGAAGCTCGGCTATTAAGATATTTATTACACGAGTAGAAATATTCAGAAAACATCACAAATTATTGGGAACCGACTTTATCCGTCTAACTCATGGTACTGTTTTCTAAAAAAGAAGGAAAAGCGGTTGGAAGAAACACAACGTTTAACGTGTAAGTTAATTCTTTTACAAAGGTAAGCTATAAGCCTTGCTGATTTTAGTTGCAAGCCCTTTGTATTACCATTGTCCTGAGATGAACATCAATATGAGCTCACAAAAAACCCATACCAGCTCAAGTTTTCGGTTTGTCTCCTCCAAGCTTTCGTCGATTTTTGTAACCTTTCTGTTAAGATCTTCACTCTTGGAAATCTCGTGTTCTGCATTTTCTCTCATACACATCTGAAACGCAAATCAAACAGCACATCGTTTCACTTGAAATTTTACTGGGAGTAGAGAGTTTCATTAATATAATTGTTATGAATATTATCACTGTTTTGTAGATACCTTTTTGTTACCAACATAACTTAAATATACATAATCTGTGTATCTTAGAGCAAATATATCAGTGACGTCACCCATTGTTATTAATATGCCAACCAGAGAACTATTGGCTGGTGAAACAAAGAAATCTGTTGTTTAACGTTTTAACTAACAAAAAACAATGTTTGTAAACAGATATTTTCCGTACTAATCAACTTCTCCCTGCAAGCTTGGTGAATAAGAGATTTATTGCAACACTACAATGCTGTGAAAAATAAATCCCATGATCAGGTGGTAAACTTAAAGTAAACTGACAACTTGATGTTTTGTTTTTTTTTTGTTTTTTGTTTTTTGTTTTTCAAAAAAGGGAATAAGAAAGTTTCCATGAGAGAAGTAGGATGGAGTGATACTGCTCATGACACAGTTTGTGAGTGAATGATTATGGCAAAAGATCCACGATCCGCAAAGAAAAGGTTCCCGCAAAAATTTACTCCACTAGCGAAATTATACATACAAAAATTGTACGAAGAGTCTTGTTGGTGCCATTTATTTTGAACTTTTCTTTTGTTGCTTGGTTTTATCATGGACATACTATTAAAGAAAAGGAGGTTGGAAGAAACATATAAATAATCTTACAAAGCCATAAAACTACAAGAAACCTGCGTGGGATTATTCGAGTGTGAGTGAGTGAGAACTTTATTAAAGTGTCAAAAAACCCTATAGCCTGGGAATAAAAACACCATACTAATTAGGGGACACTGCTAAAAAACTATACTAATACTAATATTAATACAATAAAAAAAATAATAAAAAAAAAATAAATGACTTGAAGGGCATTATGTGCAGCATAGGATGCAGCCCTTACAACCGGTGTCCATTAAGCGAGTTATATCCCTTTTGCGAATATAGTTTGTAAAAGCCTGCAGTGTCTTGGCTGATCTGTCAGCCATAGACAGTTTGCCCCAT